ATGCTGTAACTCGCTTTGCTACCCAGTTAAACCTCCATCTGCTCCAAGAAGTCGTTCTGTCACGCTCTGTGCCCTGAGGACGAAGAGATGATCTGCACTGTGGAAATGCTGGTGTCTCTGTTTTGTGCACCTTGGTACTCTGAATTGAGGAAGGTGAAGACCAAGTTAAATAGAGTGTAACTTTCAGTATGATGACATCATCTCTGAAGTGTAGTAAGTTGAGCGTAGCTGTGTGGGAGATACTGAAAGATGCAAGAAGTCTTACTAATTTAATGCGACTGACAGCATTTCATTATGAAATTTCTTGAACCCTTTTGTGACAAAACCTAAGTAGTTTGTTCTGCACGTAAGACTGAGTAGATCTACATAGGGACTGTTAGGTAAGGTGCTAGGCTTATGGTAGGAGTGGATTAGATGGTGCGGACTGTGAAGTATGTAATAATTCAGCAAAGAACGTAAGCAGAAGTTTTAGTGGAAAAAGATGGGTTAAAGAAACTGCATCTGAAATTCTAACAAAACAGAGAATTGTAACTCTTCAGTAGTTGTTCTTGACCCCGTCAAACTGTTTACTGATGGCTTGTGCAGACAATTTGAAGTATTGAGAAACCCTTCCTGTTGAGATAAACTACGCTGTGCTGCCAGTGGCTGTCATCGTGGAGATGCCACGTTAGAGGGCAGCTGCGGAATCGCGCTTGCACAATGCCTTGCTTGTGGAGCTGTCGTTTCACTTACTCTCTGGGTAGTTGCATCATTTCTATCTCCTGGTTTTGGGGGGAAGTTGGCTGCAGATGAGAATTGCATCTGGGTTTTCCTCTGCCTTTTGCAAGGAGAAGGACGTGGGGAGGGGATGGCAGGCAGGTGGTGATGCACCAAAGAGAGGGCATGGCCTCTTCGGGGCGGCCGGCTGCTCACCGGCCCACCCGTGCTCACTTACTCATCTTCCTGGTAAACTGCCTAGTGTTGTAAAGCTTGAATTTTAAGGCCTGATTAAATACCACAGCTCTTGTCCAAGAAGTAAAAGAATGAGTAAATACTCAGTTTGGCAATTGTTTTGCCTTGGCAATTGCAATGGCATTTGAAACTGATGTGCTGTGACTGCACATGTCAGTGTTTATGGGATGGTCTGCTTTATGTAGCCAGCGGTCTATTGTATGAACAGAAATACAACAGCTTTATTTTTTGAAATGGCTTTCTGTCTGAAAACCTGTTCCTTTTCTGTTTTGACACTGGAAAACTCTTTTCTTTACCGCTCTCACATAATATCGTAAGTAACGAATTGTGTATGCAAATACCCCTTGGGTACTTCAGGACAATATGAGCTGAGCTTTTGGCCACCTGGGTCTTTTATTCTAAATGCTTGTAAGCCCCATTCTTCCCAGCCCTTACTTTCTGTCCTGTTGTTCTGGGGAGAGGGAGAGTGCGTAAACTTGTGGGGCTTTGCTTACAACTCATGCCGTAGAGTATCTGGTGCTTTGAGTGACAAGAGCAAGTACGGCTGGAGGAGGCATCCTATTGCCCTGCCCCTGTGTTGCCCATAGTTGATTCATTTACTTCTTCCTAGTCATTTTAAGCTCTCTGATTCTAAACAGATGGAAAAGGTTAAACCATGATCTTCTCCAGCAGGATTTGGAAAATGCCTTTTCATCTTATATGGTCTCTTATATGCTCTTTCATCTTATCAGGTCTCTGATAATTTAGTGAACTGCTTCCAGCAGACTTACTTCTTCTCATGACACTTCTCCTTTTGGTCTCAACACATGTTTATTTTCTTGAAACTTGAGGACAGTGGTTACACTAGAAGTACCAGCGTGGAGGATGCTACAAGGAAAAGCTTAGCAAACTAAAAAAAAAAATTTGGTGTTTGTAGCAAATGAGGGCATATTAGAGGAAAGCCATTTTTGAGGTATGCACCCTTAAGTAATCAATTAATTAATTCTTTGTGGCTGATGTCAGGCACTCATCCATTCAGGCTGAAGTGTGCTAGCAGCATGTGCACATCTAGGGTGCAGCATCTCCCCGCATCCTCTTCCGTGTGGTGCTCCGAGATGGAGTTGACACATCAATAAACGCAGTTGCATGCAGTTCCTTGGCCCATGCCTCGCGGATGTTATGTTTATGTTGTAATTCTCTCCGAAAATGTTGCCTGATCTTTCTGGGGAAAAAGGAGATAGGAGCTAAATTGTCAACTTATTTTCCTCCCTGTCCATGAGCATAGGTCAATGGCCTGGAATGAAACCTGTGGGACAAAGTTCAAGCCAGGCTGTTGTTTACATGGTCCCATGTGCTTCTTGGACAAGCCAGTGGGGTGTTAATGACTTAGGTTTTAAATTTCTTGTGTCTCCTTTGGAAGCCTTTATTTAATGGGATACTGTTGCGTGCCTTTATCCCGAGGGGGTACGTGGCAGAATCCAAGACTGGAGAGCTTCCCTGTGGCTCATCTAGGAAAGCAGGCATCCTCTTGTGATCACAAACACATCATTACTGGAAGACTTGTTACAAAGCTTGGAGGAACATAGGAGGAGAGTGTTGGAACACTGGTTTTGTCTGGGTTCATTTCTCCTCTTTCACTGTTAGGCGGAAAGCAGTAATTAATACAGCTGGATGCTAAATGCAGCGTTTTCTGTTGGCTCCGACTTCTTTCTAGTATTCAGTTTGCAGGCTGAGCACAGACGAACCATAGCAGTTGTGGCTTTTGGTTAGTTTAGGATCCTTCTTAGGAGGAAAAATGTTGAGTGATGATCTGTGCTTAACTTAGCTCTTCTTATCTTGAAGATACAACATCCAAATATAGGAATAGTCAACTTTGTTTTAAAATGGAGTGCTTAATATGCTGGTGTTGGCAAAGAGTCAGGAAGCGTGAATTCTGCGTAGCAACATCATAAGCTTATAGCTGAAAAAGAAAGGGCTTGAAAGGTCATCCACTCTCTAGGTGGTGTCCAAAATACACAGTTTCAGAAAGTTGCTGGGGTGCATAGTCCGAGTTCTAAGTCTGTCCTTAGGATGATTTCAGATGTGCACGGCTGATTTTTTCCTCCCCTCTCCTTGCTGGAGCAACAACTTAAAGTCCAATCTTCTGTGTAAAATCGTGCACGTATGACACCTTTAGTTGCGCTGTTAGATGCATCAGAAAATGGTCTCTAAGAGCTTGATTTGAGAGAAAGCGACTCTTCAAAGGTTGTGTGATGGTTGGTCTTTTCGAGGGTTTGTCTGGGGTTTTTAGGCAGTGTATCTTGAGCAAACTGACGTGATTGATAGGAGACAGCAAAGGGATGAGCATGGCAGAGCTGTGCAATGATGTTAAAATAAACCAAGCGATGAGTAGATGAAGGTTAAGGCTGTTGGGGAACCCCCAGATGACGATGCCTGCGTTAATGTTTTCTTCCTTCCTCCTGGAGAAGTAAATCCTGGAAGTGCTGCAGTTACAGAAGGAATTGGCTGCACATGTAATTATAAATATTAAGCCCAACTTCCCGTGCATCACTTTAATCTTTTGTTTGACTTTCAACTTTTTAGAATGCCTACAACAAAACGACTTGCTAAGTATGCTGATAATAACAAAAAGTCCGATGTGACTAATGGGTCAGATGTGACTGAACAGGTCAAGAGCCTTGTGTGAGAAAGCAAGAACAGGGGAGGAGCTAGAAGATGACTAGTTTTTAATATCTCCTGAAGGAATTCTTAGGGAAGAACTTTTTCTACAGGAAAGTATAAACATAGTGGGGTCTAAGCCCTGTAAGTGGGCAATCTTTATGCAAAGCAATTCCTGAAAATACTGTACTTTAAACTACTTCATCCACAACATTGGTTGCGTATGATGCCATTGAACAACTTCCCGAGTTCGATGGTCTTGAGTTTAAATTTTAACTTGAGGTCATATTTTGTTTGTGCTTCTTGCCGATGAGAGGAGTATAAAGGAGCATGAAGAATACTGTATCTACTTCATCCACAACATTGGTTGCATATGATGCCATTGAACAACTTCGCCTGAGTTCGATGATCTTGAGTTTAAATTTTGACTTGAGGTCATATTTTGTTTGTGCTTCTTGCCGATGAGAGGAGTATAAAGGAGCATGAAGAATATGCTCATGTGCAAGAGCAGCTAACGCACTTGGCAGTCTTTGTAAGAGTGTATTTGTCCGGTAAACATCATGTGATAGGATCTAGTAGGTTCCCAAATGTAGAAATTGTGTGAAGACTTCAGTAATGCTTTGAAAAGTCTTCAGCTGCAGAGCTTTAAAGGTGGTTTTATGGTCAATGTATGCAATTCACTTTTGCTGTCTTGTAAAATCTTAACACGACTAAATTAGATTTCATTTTTCTAATCTCCTCAGTACAACATTTTGTATTAACTCTGCCGGCTGGTGTATGATCAGATCAGCATAACTGAAACTGGGGAGGTTAAGTTGTCTGCAAAAGTAGCAGTTACATTGCTTTCAAAAAGAAGAAATCCTGTGATGCCCCCTCAATCACTGTGCTTAAAATACAGCATCCACCAGTCTGTTGTGGTGTGGCGTTAAGAGGATTAATAGGAGAGCATATTGATCTCAATTTTCAGATCATCCTTTTGTCACGGGCAAGATGTCCCAGCTCCTAGTCAAGCCAGATTTAGCTAATTTTATCCAAGCTCTTAGTTTTCTGTGCAGTGACTGAAAATTATTTCTACTTCATGACAGAAGTATAACAGTTTGTTAAATTTAGTTTTATGAGGATTGGACACCGCTATTTTTAATTTGTTTTAAACTGGAGGAGGCGCTTAATTTATGTTACGTTAAAGCAAAAGCAGAACACGTGTCGAGTGGCTCATGCACTATTTTTTTTATATGTTCAGGAGACCCAGTTACTAGGAATAGGCACTTAATTTAAAAAGTAGGTCAGTTGTCATGTATAGAACCATACAAAGCTCATACTGACTCTTACGTTAGTGTATCTACTAGTGTGTGTAAAGTGGTATCATCCTGAGGAGTTGTTTCAATACGAATTATGTTTTCCTTGCTTTACAGGAAAATCTTCACTGACGATTCAGTTTGTGGAAGGACAGTTTGTTGATTCATATGATCCAACCATAGAGAACAGTAAGTAAATAACTGACAAGCTGCTCTTCTCTACCTAACTAGCTTTTATTAGAAGACCTTGTGGTTCTACATATTACTTATGTGGGCATTTACATATTAACATTAAAGCTCATTAACTGCTAAGTTTTATTACTCTTTTAAACCAATGCTTACCAGGCTTACAGTATCGCAGTGTGGAAGTCACTGTGTGCATACTTCTCCAGACAGGGAAGCTGTCTTTTAACGGTAAATGAAGGAAAACCTAATCAGTCCGACTAGAATGCATCTCCTTTTTGTATTACATGTATGTTGTTGGAAATCTGCTTCCCCTAACACAGTCAGGGCACTTGGATTAAGTATGTAATTTTTTCAGGAATAAATTATTCCCAAAGAGGGTGGTGAGGCACTGGGACAGGTTGCCCAGAGAAGCTGAGGATGCCACATCCCTGGAAGTGTTCAAGGCCAGGCTGGATGAGGCTTGGAGCAACCTGGTCTAGTGGAAGGTGTCCCTGCCCATGGCAGGGGTGTTGGAAATAGATGGTCTTTAAGGTCCCTTCCAACCCAAACCATTCTACTATTCTATGATTCTATGTCATACCTATATGAAAATGTGCCACTATATACAATTATTCCAAAGTCTCAAACGTCTCATTTGCTCAGTATGTCCAGATGAACACAAAGCCAGCCATACCAGTCAGGCACAAATGACAACGTTAGAAGGTAGCCATGCTGTGGCCATGATAACATGACAGTTGTTTAAATTACTCGTTTCCAACTGCTTGATAACACTTCAGCTTGCTGCAGATCCTGGGTAACTGGCTTCTCAAGTGTCTGTTTCTCACTTAGTAATTTTTTTTTTAATATTAGTGCCTTTGTGAATAGCTAGTGTAGCAGGTAAGTAAAGATACTAATAGTGGTAACACCTCCAAGAGCGACGGGTCACTTCAGTTTCCTGGTATTCGTTACAATCCAACCACCTCTTTCTGAGCTAGCAGTGGTCATAAAGTACTTAAGCAGCTGTGGTGCTAGGCTGAGTGACTTGATCATATTGGTTCACTTTATTCAAATAAGGCAAATGTAGCAAATAAAACTTTGATTTCATGACTGTAACCCTGAAGGTTTGTATTTTAATGACTTCTAAAGTGCCGGCGTAGCACATGTTTTTACTGTTCTGAACTTGTGCAGTAGGTGTTAAGCCTGTGTAAAACATTTGAATGAAGTAATCGGCAGAACAAGGTTTCTTTTGGCTATACATGGTAATAATTACAAATCAGTAGCCATCAGGATAATTTACTCAGAATGATTTTTTTGCTTAGATCTAAAATTGAAATGTTACTTTTTGAAGAAGCTCTAAATTTGCTTTAGCGAGTCAAGCTGGATAATTTGCCCCTTGGCCTGAATGATCTGTTAGGCCTCATACAGATGTCATTACATTTTCCATCATGCCTTCTTTATTTTGTTAGAATTATAAACTAAATTTGCTAACAAAATATTGGGGATTAAGTTTCTGTATTTTAAATCTTAATATCAGTTGGGACGGGTTATTTTTCACTGCCTGTGCTGTATAAATGCAAAATATTTTAAGTAAACTTTCAGTTTTATGCAGGTATATGGGAATGAATGAAACTTGAGAGACATGGGGTCAAGGTCTCTCCAAAATACCCAGTATCTTTTAGGATTTTGACACCTTGGTACAAGGTTGTTTCATCCTTCACAAGCACTTGTCGTTCACAGAAACATCTTGTCTGTAACTGCTGTTAGGAACTCTGTAGTTGTAGGTCTCACACTGGTAGCATTTCTTAACTATAAGAAAACACACTCTGGATGAATTGTGTGCTTATTTGGCCTTTGTAGTTTGCACTGCTTGCTTGATCTGAACTCTAAACGTTGAGCATGACATGAATGCTTTGTTGGGTGGGGGCATCCTGGAAAGTTTTAACTTTTCACTTGATTTCTTTTTGTTTGGAAAACAGGCACATTATTCATTTTCTCAGAGTCTTGTGATCTGTGGCATGGCTGGAAGAATTTGCTTTCTGAAAGGTAGAGAATTGAAGGGCCTTTCTTGCATCAGAACACATTGCTGGGAAAGTAAGGGTTGAAAACATGAAAGATTTGCCCTGATACTCAGAACAGTAGGAAGTCTGTCCCATCCTTCATCCTTGAAAGTCCTGATAGAATGTTTTAAAAATGCTCCTGTGAGGAAAGGAAGAGGTAACACTTTAAAATTTACCACTGAAATCTAAAATGTGTTGAAGGTATGGTGTTTTTGAGAAAGACCTGTGAAACTAGTTGTGATGGCATTGGTGTAAAATCATTCTTTTGATTTAAGTTCTTAATCTTTTCCAGATGCTTTTTCTAAATAGAAATCTTCAATCAGTTCAGTCTTGACATTCCCAGCTGTATGTATCTGAATTCTGTGCAGGGTCATTAGACAGAAAGTATGTAATCAACTCTTGTATTGTTTTCCTAGCTTGGAATTTCAAATCTGGTTGACAGTGTGGTTGAGAAGCCCAAGTTTGTATTCTAGGGGTGGTGTTGGAGAATGTTGCACTTCTCCAGTGCCTTATAGAAGGTTATAAAACCTTCTCAGTTTCCTCTAGTGGTTGTGTCTACTTTAGTGTCACAAAACTTGGAAGTTAAAAAAAATACAGGCTAAGGAATAGTCTGGCCTTAGGTGATTTCTGGTTTGTCTCCAGAAAATTGTTACTGATACTGATACTGTTGGAGTATTCTGCCAGCACTGATGAAAGGATAGAAAGCTGGAGTGCTGCTGGTAGCTTAATAATTTTTGTCTTCAAATAATAAAGCTTGCACAATAAATAGAGTCTAAAGCTAACTTGTATATAGGGCATGGTAGAGTTAGGCTCTTAAAGGACGAAGTTCCATAGCTTATAAACCTTGAACAACAGGAATACGACCTAATAGTCTAGTAGTTTCAATTTTCCAATGTAAAAATCTCTACCTTCTTAGGAAGTGGTAAAGGGAAAATAAGCTGCATCAGATTTCACTGTATTAGTCAACACTGCTTCAGTGCTGCATTTTCCTTTGCTTATATTACATTAGAACCAGAGAAGTTGGCTTATTTCAGTTAAGGATCAAGTTAAATTCAGTTGCTTCTACTAAACTCGCATATCAGAGTAACTTGTGGCGTTTTGTGGCAGCAGCAGAGGTGAGAGTTAATTGCTTAGCAAAATAGAGTTTCCCTTTCGGAGTGCCCCAGCAGGAGCGGCACCATGGTGGTGGCTGTTCTTGGGACAGACACGTCGAGACACTAGTGGAACGCTTACTTGCAGGGGTGAGGGAAGGAGGAGGCAGATCCTCGCAGAGCAGGAGCGTGTGAGGGAAGCTGTGTGGACACCCAGCTGGATGGGGCGCTGAAGACAGATTGGCTCTGATGAGCCAAGACCAGAACAATCTAAAACTCAAAAGGTTTGACTGGAATAAAGACTAGAATCTTAATTTGGAACTCAAAGCAAATAGATCAGAAGCAATTGATGATAAGGATGCACACGGAACTCCCCCCACCCCTGTCTTTGCAGGGGTGTCTTTGGTCATCATGCATTCAGTGACTTTGTGTTGCAGGACAGCTGACTTGACTGCCTGAGTCTCAAAAAGTGTTTTCTCCAGCTCCTGTGAGGCCTGCCTGGCTGCTTTCTGCTTTTCCTTGCAGTTTTGAGAGGCTTTTAGCACCGTGCCGCAGCTCTGCGGGCTTCCGTTAGCTCTTGACAGGCTCAGTAGCTCCCTGGAGGGGAGGAACAGTCTTCCCCCAAGGGTTTCCTACCTTCATCCCGTGGGTTTGAATACAGTTCTGAGCAGAAGTGAACTGAAAAGGGGGAGGGGGCTGGAGGCACCCTGGTAGTTGGGGAGGGGTTACCTATAGTTTAGATGGGTCTGCTAGAAGCACCTTTAAGGCTGAACTTCTTCCCTGCATGTCAGGGCTGCTGCTGGAAGGGTGAGATAAGCGTTTTCCCAGGAGTTGCTGATGAACAGCCTTCACGCGGGGTGGAAATGAGGCTTCTGAGAAAAATTAAAAATAGCTCTGCTGCTTTACACATCTCAGCGTTGTAAAAGACGTCCTGACAGATTAGTGACAGGCACTGCCTTTGGAATGAATGACAAGTAGAAGGGGATGCAGAAGGTAGGAACTGAGGAACCGCTACAAGGTGGTTGTATTTAGCCACCGGCCAGTAGCTCCATGGGAATGATGTTACACCACTCTCGTACCTTTAGCAGCACTGTTGATCTAAAACCTGCATGTGTATGCATGTACTGGTATTTTTTTGTCATAATGGCTTGTTTTCACAGTGGCTGTCATTTGAGTTGCATGTGCAAAGTACCTCGTTCATGCTAGCCTGTTTGAAATATACTTGATCTTAGGGTAATGAGGGCAGCAGCTGATGGAGTTGCTGCCTAAGTGACACTTTGCCGAGCTGGAGCAGAATTCAGGGCTGCGCTCTACATCTAATTTTACCAGAATTTCTCCTGATGGCAAAGCGGCTTTAGTTTCTTCACAGTGCAGCTGTGGACTGCTGCACCCTCAGCTGTACACGTATACCTGGCGGGTGCTGTGCTGTTCTTCACTGCAGCATCGCATTCTCCCAAGTTTCAGCAGTGCATCAGAACCGAGAACTGTAGGGGAAGGTGGGGATTGCAGCTTTCTCCATAGAGCTACACTGGAGTTACGCGTTGCAGACTGTAGGCATGCCCTGTTCTGAGATCTGTGTGCTCTGTGGAGCTAAACCCGTGCTTCAGCTGATGAGCAGCGTTTCTGAGCTGCTCACGTTAGGACTGCAGAGATTGCCCTTGGCATACCAGGAATGTATTGTGGTTGTGTTTGTCTTGCTCACAGGGGCAGCAGTAGGCAATGTGTCCCAGGATGATAGGTGATGGAATTGGAAGTGAAGACTTCCCCTGTGTCAAGGGGACGTGTGGATCACTAATCACATTTAGCACTCTGCAGGTTTTTTCCCAAAATGAAATTCTTACCAGGAGTATTTTTAAAAAGCTTCAGCAAAGAAATGGGAGTCCTTAATTATGACTGTACCAAAGCAGATTTGTGTTGGTACAGTGGGCTGTTCCTAGTGCTAAAAGCCTCTGCACTGAACTAACAGTTCTCCTCACCCAGTCTGTGGTGACTCCTCCACTGTTTTCCATTCCCCTGGCTCTGTCACACTGCTTCCAGTACCAGTGATGATGCCTTTGCTGGGTCTATTCTAGGCTTCTAGAATAGTCTGGAAAAACTGCCATCTGTCCCTTTTTAAAGATTAACTTCATGAGGCTCTTGAAGCTACTTGGATTGCAGAGAGCTCTGATGTGTCAGGACACTCGGGGGGACTGGTGCTTCTGATATACCCGCTGATGCAGCGTGTCTCCAGATGAGGCCGTTTTCCCTCTGACTTGGAGTGACAGCGTATATAGCGACGCTGCACGCTAACGTCGGTTCCAACAAACGGCTTCCTCCCTCCCCACCACCGTATTCATCCAAGGCAGAGAGCTGCTCTGCGTGCTGGCTTCATAACCCTGAAATGTCGTAAAAATGTGGTGGAGTGGGGACGGCAGCGTGCAGGCAGCGACGTGAGAGGAGCTCACGCACGTGTGCTGAGGCAGCTTTCTCGGGGGATAGACGGGCTAAGGTGGGAGCTCGCTCCTTGAGGCTCCATTCCAATGGCGCTTGCCAGCGTTGCAGCGGAAATTGTAGGTACGCTTTACACTGTTTATTTAGACATCCTGTGCTGGCTTGGCTTTGCTGTTGAATTGCTCCTTTTTTACAAAAAGGATGCTTTGACTTAGTAGGTGGGTTGAAACAGCCAGTTTGAGATATTTCAGCCCACTTCCTCAAGACAATACTCCCATTGTGGAGACTTGACAGGGCAACGAGCATTGGTGGGGAGGAGGAAAGTTGGCCAGCTTCAGCTTCTGGGGGACCTTGTACAGAACCCAGAAGGCGTAGGCAGGAGACAGCACGGCGGGATCGAGCACATTCAGCTTCACAGCTTCGGGAAGCTGTTGGACAACTTAGAGCATGATGAACTGCTCACTGCAGTGTCAAGCTGTTTCCCTGCTCATCACTGCAATGAAAGGTTAAGCTTCGTAGGACTGTTAGTATTTGGGAAAACCACCTCAACCAGAGGACAGCACAAACTTTACTCAGTATATCAGTACTCTCCAGTAATTGTACTTTGAGTGCAGCACAGGCCAAAGTGAAGCTCTGAAGCCAGGTTTGTGTGCTCTGGTGGGTACATGTCGTGCTCGGTAGTACATTATTCCTACAGGAGCTGTGACACTGTTTGCTTTTGCAGTTGCATAATACAAACACTGAGTAAGATTCCTCAGCACACAGCACGTTGGCATTTCGTGAATCCGAGGGAGAGAAGCAATTCTCATCGCTTTGAGGGACTGTACTTTCTGACTAAGGGACTAGATAGGCAGGTAGCAACATGGTGAGCTTCTGGCGAAATTCTCATTATCTAGGTTTAGTATATGTGTAAATTAGGCTGTGTGTGGTTTAGCCCCCAAGGAATTTATTGTAATCCAGCTCGTTGTCCTCATGGTATTTACGTTTAGGAAATTGATTTTGCTAAACAGCTTGGAAACTGAGGAGAATTTCCTGTAATAGATTCAAATTTAGCTTTGACACTAATTGTACGTAAGTGTCTTGTGTTACCACAGATTACAGTTGCTTGGAAGTGCCTTAGGAGTTGTCCTAGAAAGGTATGTAAAAAGCCTTTCTACCCTTTCCTTTTAAGTAAGGGAGAAACTGCTGCATCCAATGCGAGAATCTTCTGAAATTTGAAATTTAGAAATAAGCTTCTGAGTTCCATTATCTGCAATATGCTGGTTAAGAGCACAGCCCCAGATCTAGCTTTTACTGTTACTTTAAAGCCTATAACTACATTTCTCTTTGTGTAGTGCTTTGGCTGGCGATGGCATAGGTGAGTGACTTCTTATCCCTTCCTTGTGTATAATTCTGACATGTTTATATATTTCTTGTTTGTTCTAGCTTTTACAAAACTGATCACAGTAAATGGCCAAGAATATCACCTTCAGCTGGTTGACACTGCTGGCCAAGTAAGTTATCTTTCTTTGAATCTTTCTTCAGACTTAAGACAACAGGTATTCATACTCCTGTAGAGCTGAGTTGGTAGTGACCGTGCGTTCAGAGGTGAAGGTTAACTTAAATGGTTCTGGCATGTCGTTTAGTCACCGAAGAGCAATGTTTCTGTACTGTTTATTTAAAGGCTTTGTTGTTTTGTTTTGGGTTTTTTTTTTCTGCCCATTGAACTTAGGCCTAAAAAAGTGAAGAAGGAACTGCCTTAACTCTGATGTACCAGAAGTTCCTAGGTAGTCAGCTTGATATTTATGGACTAAACTAGCAGTCTGGCTTTAGATGGAAAATGTTGCTTCAGTAAGCCATGGAGAAGTTCTTCATGACTTTTTCTTGTTTGTGTGCTCCAGCTACACCACTGTGACTTATGCCCATGCAAGAGTCACAGAGAGCAGATGGAAATGCCTATAGGTCGTACTTACGGGCTACTGGTAAATCACGGCGGTTTGATTACATTTTTGAATAAGTGATGATTGACACATGCTTCTGAGCCTTCACGTAGTGACAGGGAACACAGAACCACTAAGGTTGGAAAAGACCTAGAAGATCATCCAGTCCAACCGTCAACACAACGCTACCGTACCCACTAGGCCATGTCCTCAAGCACTATGTCTACACGTTCCTTGAGGAATAGGAGGAGACAATGAACATGTGTCCCATAGCATGGTCAGGAGCTTCATGAAGTACAGGGCTGCCTGCCTGAACTTGCACTGCACGTTCCATGCGCAGGAGTACTCTGTCTTTTGAAAGACTGTATTAGGAGAAAACAGAACAGGGACTGTTAAACCCCTGTATTTTTATCCTATACTTCTTATTGCTTACATATTCTTACCTTCTGTGCGTTCTGATACTACACCTGTGGGTTTTTCTAATCTATGAGTAGTGTTAAACAATGTTAGTGTTGTAAAATGTGCTGCCAGGACTTTAGACTTCAAAGCTGCGGGATACTTGTTCATAGCTGGGAGACTACTCATAAGGGTTGTAACCTTCTAGGGATGATTGATGACTTTCTTTGAAAGAAAGCTCCGTGACTTAAGACTAACCATGTACTTATATGGCGTCAGCTTGTGGTGCTAATCAGCAGCACCATATCCCCTTGTAGTCTGTCTGAAGTGTCTGAAGTGATTGGAAACACAGCAGGGGTGCCATGTGCTGGGACAAGATTGTTTGCTGGGGAATATTCTGCAGAGGAGAGCGAGGTTGAGAGATGGGCAGGCGAAGTGTGAGCAGCAGAGCAAGCTCCTTAGGTTTCACTCTGTGCCAATGTAAGTTTGCTTGCCCTACGTCTGCAGTTGTAGTGTAGTGAGAAAAGTGAAATTCCTCTTTGAGGAAGGAATGGCTGCCTGGGAGGGCCGTGTGACCTCACCAGTAACATACCTCTACTGCTGAGGTTTATTTTCAGGGTTGATTTAATGTTGTACAATAGTGTAAAACCAAAATAACTTCTTTCCCAGCCTGTGGTTATCTTCAGATTTGATTGTTCCTTTGAATGACTTGAGCTTTGAGCTCTGGTTCACAGGGTTAGAGGGGAGAGGTGATGTTGGGTTATGGAAGGTGTGGCTTGAACAGATTTCTTTCTCAAGTCTATCTTGCTTAATGATCCATAGGGAGTCCTCATGTGGATACAGCATGGCAAGGGTTATACTGTGGATTTGTTACATACTTGGAAAGTTACAGATATGTTGTTTTATCAGTTGGCAAAGTTCTTCATTTGACCCATAAGTTCCAGGAAGCATAGCAGCTTTTCTTCCTCCTCCCAACAAGCTAAAAATTAAGTAATGACTTAGAAACAGTTGACGCTATGGCATTACTTTTCTTGGTACCCCTCTTCTGTCGCATGCCTCTCTACCTTTCATGGCTACCTGTGCAGATTTGGTAGCCCAGTTAAGCAGGGGTCTTGGTTACAGGGTCGCCAAAGAGGGGTGCAAAAGGAAATCTTACCTAATGCTGAATTCCAGCTGGGGCAATCCTGAGAAATTCTGAGTGAAGTCAAACAACTACAGAGTTGCACTTTCACCTGTTTTACACACAGACTAGCTCAGATCCCTTCTGTATTGACTTTGGGATTACGCAGCCAACTGAAGTGGCAGTTTGGCATTTCAGTGAAGATGGGCTGCCCGCAGTGTGTAGCAATAAAGGCAAATAAGGGCATCTTTAGTCAAGTGTTATTCTTTCAAACTTTTTTGGCTGAATCTGTGAAGTTGATTTATAAAGGAGTTTTCCTCATTTTCCAATTAAGGAAGCTTGATTCCTTTTGGCTGTCTGGATTTAAGCTGTGTGATAGCACTGCCCCATCTGTTCAGTCACGACAGTAGGCAGAGGGGTTACGTGGGCTATATGCTGTTAAGCTAAAGCTAACGTCTGAAGAAGCATGGGTTTAAAAGTTTGAGAACTCGGATGTTAAGAAGTATGGCTCTTGTCAAAACGTTTCCTGGGACCATCTATTAGAACAATTTTGGTTTTTAACGTGGGATTCGTTGTAGTTGTGTTGCATTTCCTGCAGTATGTCAGCCTGTTTCAATTACCTGTTTGGTCAGTTCCTTTTCTACAGGGGTTGTGGTTGGTTTATTTGGGTGGTTTTGTTTGTTGTTTGTTTTATTAAACACTTGACATACAACGTAAACTTCTACTTGTGGTAAGGCATCCAATAACTATTCCTCGCATCTAGAGTTGATGAGCCTTAGTCGCTTCCTAACAGACCCCTTAGGAAATGTAGATGTGATCAGTGCCACTTGAAATCATGCTCTGCTGGATCCTGTCATCAGCTGTTGGAATTAGGAATCTGAAGTGTATCACTAGCCAGATAAGAGGCGTAATTGCTAATTAGCGGTAGATAGAGTGGATGTTTTGTACTAATATAAACTGATAATTAAGCAGGGTAAGAGGATTGGGGATAGCTTTAGCTGATCCATAGTCTTAGAGGAAATCAACCAAAAAAAAAGCTGGAGATTACATTCGGGGGCATACAGACTGACTCAGCTTTCTCTTAATGTGGTAGATTCCACATCTGGCATTATGATGAAAAAATGTAATTCTGAAAGTACTACCTATACAGATTGGTCCTGCACTTCATGTCTTACACATAGACCAACTGAACTGCCGGTCATCTGCTAGCATTAAGTTCTGAACTGTGGCACTAAGTAATTGTACATGCTGTATTCCTTTTACAGGATGAATACTCCATATTTCCTCAGACGTACTCCATAGACATCAATGGCTACATTCTTGTTTATTCAGTCACGTCAATAAAAAGGTAACAAAGTCTGTTGTGTTCTTCTGGTTCGTTTTAACCAGATATATTCTGGGTTCAGCTCCTGCCTCTGCTATATTTTCTTTACATGTTTTTAATTCATTGAATCTCTCTCCCTTAGAAGTATAATGGACATAAAAATGAGTCAGTTTTCAGAAATTTCCCCTCAGATCCAAATGTCACAGATTTTTTACAGACTAGTATTCAAGGCACCACCTAAGAAACAAGACAGTGCTGAACTCCATTGTTCTGAGGCGTAATTAAAAGTACACAGAATGATTTCAAGAATAAGTACAGTTCGTTGCTCGAGCATCAGATAGAAAGGCAGACTAAGATAGGCACTGAAAGGGCACTGTTCATTTATGTGAAGTACCCAATCAGCTGCTAGATTGGTCCCTCAGCCTTGTAGCTTGTTACAGTACCAAAGATTTCTTTAACTTCATGTCTTGGATTGTTCTGGTCAACCACCAGGAACTTCCATATAAACAGCAATAGATGACTTTCAGCCGTTAGACTCACTCTTGCCATGCTGCAGCAAATATGGTATTTGAAAAATTTCCCAGAGTATCTGTTTCGTTCCTGCTGGTGGTGGCAGTCCATTCTGACACGGGGAAAGGGTCCATCGTAGCTGGAGTCATTTATTTCAAGAAGCATCTCAGCCTTCGTAAGGTTCTGTCATCTTCCGTTGTTTTGTCACTTCCATGTAGTCATCTTGCTTTGTTTGAACACTGGTCATCTTTGAAATCATCCTGATTTTTCTAGCGTTGTACAGCATCTTTGTTATGACAGGCACAGTAATCCCGTTTCTTAACATTTTGGTTTGTTTGAGTAAAATGATTAAGACCTTAGGCCTTTCACTCTCTTCAAGTTGATGCTTCCCTTCTTGCAAGAAAGCTGATCAGTTTTCACAAGTGCTGAAGTGTTCCATGTCTTTTCCTGTGAAGCAGACAAAGCTGATCATCTCAAGTGCTCTTTCGTAGAGTGTCATAAAATACAGGTAGAAAAAACTTGCCTGTTGGCTCTTCTGTGCTTCTCAGAGAAAGGATATGGTCTTGCTATAATTTTCCATTGCTTGCAAGGTCTTTAATGTTGAACAGGTTTTGGCAATCCTTTGTTCCTGGCTTTCATCTTTGGTTCTGAAGTAGTGACGGGCAAGCACATGTGATCTGGAGGAGATGCAGCAGGTGTTGGGCTTTCATGTGTGTCAGGAGACACTAAACTGCCTAACGTTCTTTAATCAGAGCTTCACTGTTGGTGATGAGTAACTTCTATGAAATAGGAGTTCGTATTCTCAGCCTTAAGTAGACCATCCTCCACTTTCAAAGTGAATAGAAAAATGTTCATTGGTAAGTGGTCCTGTGAGGACAAAACTCTGACTAAAATCAGCATAGATCCTTGGAGACTTCCGCAGCTTGCGCTGGTCCCTGGTTGGCAGCCAAAGGACATGCTCTTTTTCAGCTACACCAGTTGTTGCCTCCTGGTGTCTGGAGCTTCACAGCCCAGATAAAGACATGAAAATCTGTTTTCTGTGGTAGCATTCAATCAGTTCAAGTAAAACCAGATTATGCTGAAAATACTAACAGAACAAGGTATATTAAGGCCGTAGATAGACAGTATTTTCATCAGTACTTTAGTTTTGATCTGTTCATTTCAAGTTTTTTTGTTTCTTCCATTAAATTTCCAAGTATCAGTGATCCTGTCTTGTTCAATTCCTTATGTTCTGTATCACGACTATGTTAGGCAATAGGGAAGTTCTTCCACGGTACTCCAGTAGCTTAGTCGACGTGCCCAGGCAATCAAATTACAGACACCATTTGTCTTGACTTCTGTCAAAGTGCGTGTATTGATCTGAGTGTTGATCCAGCAAGGGCGAGAGCTTTGACAGCTGATTTAATAAATACGCCTTTTTAAAATTATCATCTTCCCTCCAGTGGGAAGATTAAGTGGGATTTGAGTAAAAGCTAACACCCTGCGTTGTTCAGACTCCCCGGCTCTCAGCAGCAAGGTTACTGGAAGGCTTTTGCACTACTTCAGCTTAATTAAATTCCAGTTTTGTATCTTGCTAGGTTCATGATTTTGTGTAGCACGTTTACCTGACAGCTAGAAATGTGTTGTGTTCACTCGTTGAGCTGTTTGCTGTAACCTTATTTGCGTGTCACAACGGGAGAGGACCCCGTATGGCCTCCAGCTCTCTCGCTGTTTCACAACTTGATTTGGTGATCGTCTGTTTGGATTGGTCATTATCTGTCTTAAACTCTGCCTCTGCTCCTTATAGCCTTTTTAATTTGGAAAGCTCTCTAGAACATGAAATTGAACTGGTCAAGCCAATTTCATTCTTGGCAGTTCTTAGCAACTTGTTTCTGTCAGAATTGCGTTTGAGCATTAGTAGCGCTTCTCTTTTGGTTTCCACCTTGATCCGTTAACAGAGATCAGCTGTTTATTCTTAGTCTTTTTACTAAAAATGGAGCTTGTGAACTGTACTGGATAACTAGATACACGGAATTGGAAAGGAAGAGCCTGAGTTGGACAAGAACTCTTTGCAGCGTTGTGCACTGGAACCTCAGGTGAGGGCTCGCCGGGGTGCTGTGCCACGGCATGGCTTTTCCTAGCTGTGCTGGCAACAGCGGGCCTGTCAGTGGAAAGGAAACAGTGATTGTGTTGTGTTAGTGATTCAGTTGACCCATGGCTAGTATGCTAGATCTTTCCTGTTGCTTCAGACAGAGAAACAGTTTTGTGGTCTGTAGCAGATTTTTTTTTGGTAGTGTTTTTATTCCTCTTTCAGTTTGCAGTGTCACCTCGTTTTAGATGTAGCAATGCCTCTCAACTTTGTCACAACCAAGCTCCACTCAGCTCTTGTTTTTGAAATAATCAGAAGAATGGAAGCCCAAGACATGTTCTCAAGACCAGAATTTCACTACTACCTTACATTATGTCATCTGTAGTATTGTATTTGAGTTAACTAACAGTGAATTGTGCCAGATTAAATCCCACTTGTTCGCAAAGAAGTCATTTTCTTGATAGGATACGCTAAAACTATTAGCTGAACGTGAAGTATTGTGTCCTACTCAGTCTTGAAAATCAGTGCTGAAGCCAGACAGATTGACCTACTTGACACAAAATCCTTCCTAAAGGTCGTGGCGTTTACTGTTCCAGAAGGGAGAAGTTCCAGTGATTCATATAGCTTGAGTAGTGCTTTTAGGCACCAGCTCTTTGAGGGCTCTGAGTTGGAAGTATGTTGGAGTGCTGCTGAATTTTTAAGAGTTTCGACTCTAACTGAAGAGAGACTTGTGCAAGTCAAGACACTGCCTGTAGCTAACCCCCTGGGAAGTTCTGGTCACTTTTTTGTTGCGTAGCTGTGTGCCTCGTCTGTGACCCTGTGCCTCTCTCTCAAAACAACCGCCAATGGTGCACTTCGTGTACCAGCATTTTTTCCATAATACAGTCAGAGGAGCACAACATCTGCTCTTCGACCCCGTTTATAGCTTGTTCTCAAACGCCCTAAATGTCAAATGCAGTGGATTTTGTTAGTGAGGTTTTTGGCTTCCTGGCATTTCGCAGTACTGCTTCATATCTCCCATCGTGCAAACTTCATGGACGTGGTAGGTGAACAGATGACAAATATTTGAATAATCACTGTTTCAGTACCATCTTGCAGATCAATTTACTCACTTAGGAAATTAGAATTTAGTCTTCTTTTGACTTTCACATGAATAAAACTAAAGAATTCTATATGAAATAAGTGTTCTTAAGGTAATGTGTTCTTTCATGGTGAAGTGTGCTTAACTAAATCCTTTTTCTTCGAAACTGCTTTAATTTGACATGCTCATCCAGGGTTGGACTTGGCAGTTAAATATCTTACTGCAGATACAAACCAGAGGGGAGGTGGGAGGGGCTCCTAGTGATCCTGTGTTAGGTGCATCAGTCCTGGGGGATGTTATTTATTTCTGCAAGTATCATAACTGGGGAGGCTGTAACGACAGGCACGGTCTAGGCTTGGCTGCTTCTGGGACCGTTTTGTCCGTTGTACACGAATCGGTAGCACTTGAGCATCTTTGTAGTTCTGCCGCTCTACATAGAGTAAGTTTTAAACACGGCAACCTACTATGCATTTAATTGCTTGTGTATTGGGAATTAAGGATAAACATCGGAGTGCATGTGTGACTTCATCCCTTTATTTTGCAGTTTTGAAGTGATAAAAGTTATCCATGGCAAGTTATTGGATATGGTGGGAAAAGTCCAGTAAGTAGTGACACTTTCATCTCATTTCACTGCAGGCATGTTCCTTGTACTTTGTTCAGTATACTATAACTGTTCTGAAGTTCTGAACTTTCTTTCACAGAATACCCATTATGCTGGTTGGAAATAAAAAAGACCTGCATATGGAACGGTATGTGACCTCCAGTATGTGTGAAATAGAAGGCAGCAGCCGGC